ATGTCTTAATATTAGTTATCGATGAGATTAGAGTTGATAAAGTATTGCACGTTATATTGCTAGAATTATGCGGTATCGTACGGAAAAAACTTTACTCATAAAAACAGGTTATGAATAATCAGATCACATCAAAATTATATCGAATTAAACAGTATACTATGTGCGATAATTTGATAAAAACTCAACAAAAATCAGAATGGTTCAAAAATGTATAGACATACTCTTTTTTCCCTTATCCTATGAAACAATTTCCCGAGTACTTTTACCAGGAAAATGATGTGCAGACATGAAAATACGGCACACTAGTGAATGTGGTTTGAAATGTCATAACTTTACCAAATTTATTTTGATGCAAAGCACCAATCACCACATAAATTTTGTTTTCTAGGGAAAGTTTATTTTCTTAGCTAAGTATTTTCTGGGAATTCCGCAATATGATTGATCAGGAGAGCAACATTATCATCCATGGACTTCATATTCACGATTGCCGACCCCAGGCTCCAAGCTTGGTCATGAATCCGGATGGGAAGGTGGTTCCACTGGGTCAGGTTGATGGGGACGCCATCAGGTTAGTGAGTGCATCAAAGGTCTGGATTGACCACAACACTCTCTACCAGTGCCAGGACGGTCTTCTCGATGTCACTCGGGGTACGACAGACATCACAATCTCGAACAATTGGTTCCGAGACCAAGACAAGGTCATGCTTCTCGGCCATGATGACGGCTACGTTCTAGACAAGAACATGAAGGTCACAGTCATTTACAACCATTTTGGTCCTAACTGCAACCAAAGAATGCCAAGGTAGTTAACCAAATAATTTTGGTCTACTATGATTTTAGAATTGGAATTAGTTTAAAGGGACAAATGGAAAACTAATGTTGCAGGCTTAGACATGGATATGCACATGTGGTGAACAACATGTACAATGGATGGGGTCAGTATGCAATTGGGGGGAGCATGAGTCCTAGAGTCAAGAGTGAAGCCAATCTCTTCATTGCCCCCAAATCAGGGAACAAAGAGGTAAAGTAAATATTTGTTGAAATTAGTTTACAATGATACCATGTATACCAATAGTATTCAATGATGATCAATATCAATAGTATGAATATGTTCACTTAATAATCAATCTATTTGCTAATTGTAGCGTGAGCAAAATAGCAAAAAAATCAAATAGAGTTTAAATTTGTCATTGTGTCGTTGTGATAATATGAACAGCCTGGGCAAGAATCTTAACTGCAAGACTAACTAGTGACAAGTTAAAAACTCTGATTAAGGGGTGAGAATGATGAATCCACTCTCGTTTCTCCTCTCAATATAGGCTACATATGGCAATATCAACATCTTCAGAAGATGATGAATTTGTGAGACACCAAAATATGCTCTACCTATACTATAGAAAATTATCCATTTCAATGAACAAACCAAAACATTATGAGTAATATAAAACCATAAAACTCACCCAATATAGCAAATTAAATCCATCCTATTATGGCCCAAACAATACCAAACATGACGAATATGGTCAAATATATTTATTGGTTCATGACTTGCTTCATACAAAACGCGTGACTCTAATTTGCAATTTTGCTAGTCCACGTAAAATAACTCCAACAATATTCACTTTTATTATTGTACTCATATTCATGTGTACAACAACTGGTTAAAACAGGTGACATCGAGAATGGATACTATTGGGAACAAGCAGTCATGGAAGTTCTACTCTGTGAGGGATGTTTTTGAAAATGGGGCTTCTTTCATT